ATTCTTCTTTGTCCTTAGAGTATATGCCACTAAGAATGTTTGGTCAGTTTATTATGTTTTAATGTTACTTGGAATAATTTCTCTTGGAATTTATACCATCAACTTGACCTTTGTTTTCATTTTGTTTTTGATTTTGGGGAATTGCTTTAAATTTTTAAATTTTACAATATGTACATTATTTACACAATAAGATATATTTTTAAAAGTCTAGCTTTTATCTTTGTGTCTTCTATCTTATTCCCTCCCTCTTCTATAGGTAACTATTTAAAAAAATCTTTTGTTACTTATTCTTCTTCTATTTGTTTTATATTTATTTATTTATTTTTTGAGATGGAGTCTTGCTCTGTCATCCAGGCTGGAGTGCAGTGGAGCAATCTCGGCTCACTGCAACCTCTGCCTCCCAGGTTCAAGTGATTCTCCTGCCTCAGCCTCTCAAGTAGCTGGCATTATAGGCCTGTACCACCATACCTGGCTAATTTTTGTATTTTTAGTAGAGATGGGGGTTTCACCATGTTGACCAGGCTGATCTTGAACATCTGACCTCAAGTGATCCACCTGGCTTGACCTCCCACGGTGCTAGGATTATAGGTGTGAGCCACTGAGCCTGACCTATTTGTTTTAAAATGTAAGAAAATACTTATGTTCTAGCACCCTTTCTTTGATAAAAGGTAGCAAATTAAGCAGTTTTCCCCACCTTGCTTTTTAATATTATATCTTGGAGATTTTTCCATGGTAGTAATAATATAGAATTTTTAGTAATATATAATTTTAAATATTAATTTTTATAATATTTATATTTATTTAAAATTACATATTAATAAATAAAATTTAATAAATAAAATATTCTAAGTAGACATTAGACTATTTTTCTTTTTTTTGAGACGGAGTTTCACTCTTGTTACCCAGGCTGGAGTGCAATGGCGCGATCTCGGCTCACCGCAACCTCTGCCTCCTGGGTTCAGGCAATTCTCCTGCCTCAGCCTCCTGAGTAGCTGGGATTACAGGCGTGCACCACCATGCCCAGCTAATTTTTGTATTTTTAGTAGTGACGGGGTTTCACCATGTTGACCAGGATGGTCTCGATCTCTTGACCTCGTGATCCACCCTCCTCGGCCTCCCAAAGTGCTGGGATTACAGGCATGAGCCACCGCGCCCGGCCAACATTAGACTATTTTATTTACTTCCTAAAAGTTTGTTTATTCAAGTTGTTTATAAAGTTATTTACTCAAAAACTTTATTTGAATCTTCTCATTGGGAAAATAGATTGCCTTATGTTCAGAGTTACCTTATTTGGGAGCATAGATGAAAACTACAAAATAGTCACTTTGGAACAGTAAGCTGGAAATCTAAGTGGGATCTAGAAGGAAGGTAATATGGTTTGGCTATTCATCCTCTCCAAATGTGTTGAAATGTAATCTCCAGTGTTGGAGATGGGGCCTGTTGGGAGATGTTTAGGTCATGGGGCAGATGCCTTGTAAATGTCTTGGTGCCATCCTCACAGTAATGAATGAGTTCTTGCTCTATGAGTTCACACAAAATCTGGTTGTTTAAAAGAGTCTGGGCCCTCCCCTCTATCTTGCCCCCTCTCTTGCCATGTTATACACCGGCTTCCCTTTTGCCTTCTGCCATGATTGTGAGCTTCCTGACTCTCACCCAAAGCAGATGCTAGCATCACACTTCTTGTACAGCCTGCAGAACTCTGAGCCAAGATAAACCTATTTTCTTGATAAATTACCCAGTCTCAGGTATTCTGTTATAGCAATGCAAACAGACTAATACAGAAGGTGAGGATATAGTGTGCTGGAGAGTTTGGAAAAATGGCATGTTAGGTGACTAGATGACCTGACAATATGAGCAAAGACATGAAGGTAGGAATGTGCACAGTGCGCTCAGGATCAGTCAGCTTGGTTGGAGTTGCAGGTTTGAGAAGGGAGATAGATTGGCAAGGAAATCAGCCAAGAGTTTTTTTGAATTAATTCAGAGTCTTGTGATTCAGGGTATTAATAAGATAGGTATCATTATATTCATTCTTTTAAAAGGTTTTAATTTTATTCTGCAATTGACAATATTTAAGTAATATTGTACATATTCATTGGGGTGCATAGTGATGTTTCAATACAGGTAATGTATAGTGATCAGAGTAATTAGCATATCTATCATTTAAAACATTTATAACTTCTTTGTGTTGAGAATACTCAATATCTTGCCCCTAGCTGTTTGAAACTCTATATTACAGTCATCCTACAGTAGTATTGAACACTAAAACTTATTCTTCCTTTATAGTTGTAATTTTTTATTCTTTAGCAAATCTCTCCCTACGCTCGTTCCCCTTGCCTTCCCAGCCTCTGGGATTCTCCGTTATACTTCTTACTTCTATGAGATAAACTTTTTTTAGTTTCCACATATGAGTGAGAACATGCAGTGTTTAACTTTCTGTTCCTGGCTTATTTCACTTAACATAATGTCGTTCAGTTCCATCCATGTTGCCACAAATGACAGGATTTCATCCCTTTTATGGCTGAATAGTATTCCATTGTGTATTTATGCCATATTTTCTTTTCTTTTTTTTTTGACATGGAGTCTTGCTCTGTTGCCAGGCTGAAGTACAGTGGTGCTATCTTGGCTCACTGCAACCTCTGCCTCCTGGGTTCAAGCGATTCTCCTGCCTCAGCCTTCTGAATAGCTGGGATTATAGGTGCCCGCCATCATGCCCAGCTAATTTTAAAAATTTTTAGTAGAGATGGGGTTTTACCAGTGTTGGCCAGGGTGGTCTTGATATCCTGATCTCGTGATCCGCCTGCCTTGGCCTCCCAAAGTGCTGGGATTACAGACTTGAGCCACCGCGCCTGGCCCACATTTTCTTTATCCATTCATCTGTTGGACATCTAGGATGATTCCATATCTTGGCTCTTATGAATAGCGCTGTGATAAACATGGGATGCAGATGTCTGTTTAATATAGTGATTTCCTTTCCTTTGGATAAATGCCCAATAGTGGGATTACTGGATCATATAGTAGTTCTATTTTGAGGAAACTCCACTGTTCTCCACAGTGGCTATACTAGCTTATATTCCCACCAACAGTGTATGAGTGTTCTTTCTTCTTCACATCCTTGCCAGCACTTGTTATATTTTGTCTTTTTGATAACAGCCATCCTAACTAGAGTGAGATGATGCCTCATTGTGGTTTTGATTTGCACTTCCTTAATGATTAGTGACATTGAGCATTTTTTCATATATTTGTTGACTGTTTATCTTTTGAGAATTATGTATTCATTCTTTTAACAAAGATTTATTGAGCACCTATTATGTGAAAAGTCTGTGCTTGGTGCTGGTATACTGTGGTGAGGAAGATAGATGTAGTCCCTCCCTCAAGGAACAGAAGAGACTTTTTTTTTTTTTTTTGAGATGGAGTCTTGCTCTGTTGCCCATGTTGGAGTACAGTGGTGCAATCTCAGCTCACTGCAACCTCCTCCTCCCAGGTTCAAGCAATTCTCCTGCCTCAGCCTCCTGAGCAGGGGGGACTACAGGCACACAACACCATGCCCAGCTAATTTTTGTATTTTTAGTAGACACGGGGTTTCACCACATTGGTCAGGCCAATCTTGAACTCCTGACCTCAGGTGATCCACCAGCCTTGACCTCCCAAAGTGTTGGGATTACAGGCATGAGCCACCATGCTCAGTGGCCAAGACATTTTATTACTACCAGAATTGCAGTGCGCTCTGAAGATATGTAAATAGGGACCTAGCTTAGTTTGGAAGTAGGGGTGGGTAATCAGGAAAGGCTTTCAAGTAAGTGTGTTGAGGCTGAGATCAGAGATGATGAATAAGTATTAGCTTCTGCTGGTGGGGGTGGGAGTGGCAGGAAGAGAATGGTAGTTCCAGGAAGAGAGAGCAGCACTGAGTAAAGAAGGTGGGTGTGGTTCCAGAACTAAAAAAAATGCCCAATATGATTTAAAGGGTTGGAGAGTGTAGGGAAGAGTGGATGAGAGATGAAAATTAATTTTTTAGAGAAATTGCAAAGGAGGACTTGGTAAGAAAAGGGAACTAGCTACTGAAAGCATATGGTCGGCACTCATACACGTGGAATGGATGAATAAGTAACTTTGAAATTTCATCTGTGGGCTAAGAAATGATGGTGCCATTGGTAGGAATAAATAAATGAGCACAGGGTGTTAGTTTTGGAAGGCAAGTTAGTTTGGTTTTAGACACATGGATCTTGAGGTGTGGCATCCTAGTGGCTTATCAATGAGTGAACCACAGTTTCAGACTACAGTTGAAACTGTAAGTCTCAAGTGAGGAAAACAAAGGGTAGAGAGCTCTTTCTTTGAAATTATCAGAGGAAGAAAAGGCCAAGGATGAGTCAGAGGAGACCTGATAAGAGGAGCAGGATGGAGAATTTCAAGGACACTGTGGCAAACAGTCTCAAATGCTGCAAAGAGGCCAGAGAGACTAATTTATACCAAATGGGACAACCTACTTCACAGCACTTGCAAAATGCCAGCATGTTATACAGAGATATAGATGGAGTGGGGAGGTGGAAAAGTCATGAGATTTACAGCCACAAGACCTGGACTCATGACATCTCCTTGTAGTCCCAGCTGCTCTAGAGGCTGAGGCAGGAGAATTGCTTAAACCCAGGAGTTCAAGGCTGCAGTGAGCTATGATTATATCACTGCAATATAGCCTGGGTGACCCATTCTCTAAAAAGTAAAAAAAAAAAAGACTTAGGCTCAGTCTTAGCTCTTTCTTTTATGACATTTGTGACCCTGGGATCATTACTTAATGTCTGTGAGTCTCAGTCTGCTCATTTACAGAATGAGGAGGAGAATGGCTGCCATATTCACTTCTAAAAGGTATTGTGAAGTTCAAATGTAAAAATACATGTAAACCATTGTGTTTTCCCCCTATGTATCTCAAAAGGATCTGGCATACACAAGGTTTGTATATTCGAATGATGTATATGTATTACTGTGACTATTTATTTGTGTTTAAACAGAGACCAGATGAAGAAGCTGTGGTGGATCAGGGTGGGACCAGTACAATTCTCAACATTCACTATGAAAAAGAAGAGCTGGAAGGTAAGAACTGCCATGCTGTGTGATCAGGGAAATTAGTGAGAGGCAGCCTGGTGTGGGAAGACCTGGCTCTGTGTCCTAACTTTCTCACTAGCTGTCAGACCTTGGGGAAAATCACTTAATTTTCTTTAGCCTCACTTTTCTCATTTGGTAAATAAAAGTAGGGATACTAATCCCTGTCTTACTTTATAGGGATACCATTAGGATCTAATTGCCAACATGGGAGATAGTGCTTTGGACACTGTGAAGTCCGGTATAAATATTAACAAATAATCTGTTCTTTGAGAATGTGTTGTACTCAGTTCAGTGCACTGATTCTTGACAACTGCCTGGAAATACCAATATATACAAAACTTAAAAAGAAAATAAAATACAAATAGTTTTAAAAACTCAGTTTGGCTATAAAACCCTATTTTTACCCCATTTCCAATATTTACTGTTTCTATTCTAACTATACCCATTTCTGCCTGGTGTTTTCATCTAAACAAGAGGGAAAACAGGAACACACCTGTGACATACTTTTGAGTTCATAACACCAAAGTTATATAAAAGCCCAGCTGAAGTGGAAAGGAAGAGGCATTTTGGATGACCCATTCTGTCCAGTTTGCCTTGTTTCAGCTCTTCCTTTCTCTGCACCTCACCTGCAGCTTGCTATATGACCATTCATATAGGGAGGACCTGCTTTCCTTCTTCCCCTGGGAACCAGCTGGTGTGTTAGGAGTTGGACCCACACCTGGCCATGGTTTCCTGATTAGTGTTGATGCTCAGTTTCATTAGAGGAAGGCTCGCATCCAGTATAGCTTTAATGAGAAGCCACATTTGACTCAAAAGCCTTTGTGAAATCTCTGCAGCATCCCCTGCAATGTTGAAGGCTATGATACAGCAACTTTCTGATGCCTGAGACAGCATGTGAAATGTTCTCTCTGTACTGCCTGTTCCCATGACAGTTTTTTTCATCAAAGTTGTACAACCTCCAGAGAAAACTTGTCCTTTTGATGGGGAGAGCGGAAGCTGTAGAGGCTGACTCAGCCTCTGGGTCTGTTACCATGAGAACTGATGTGGGTGGCTCTGTGGAGGTCAGTGGTGTTTGGGTATACCAAGGTGAAGTTTTCCAAGGTATTTTGACCAGACGGAAGAAGAGAAAATGTGAGTTGCAGCATTTGGGAGAGAGTGGGAGAAGGAAAGGGTGTGGAACAGGAGGCTAACATTTGTTGAATGCCCCTTGTGTGTTAGGCATTAGAATAGGCACCTTATACAAATTGTCTTTTTTAATCTTCATAGCACTCCAGGCAGGTGGGTATCATTATCCCTATTTTACGCATGAGGAAACTGCTCAAGGTCATTGAGCATAATAGCAGGTGAGGCTGGGGAGAGAATCCTGCTCTATTCATTCTGCCACACAGCCTGCAAGGGAGGACAGCAACTAGCATTAACCACCCAACCTCAATATCTTGCTCCATCATATAAAATTTTTGTATGTTGCTCTTGCCTCTTCTTCTGTTATGATAATCCTGTGGTCTCTCTACCCTCTCATTGCATCTTGGGAGCATGTTGCTGTCAGTTTAGTTGTCCTACAGCAAGCACCACTGGACCTTTGCCCTCAGCAAGGAGGTAACCATTTATGAACACTCTTGTCTACTTGGGAGTAGAATAAGAAACCTGGGCAAGCTCTCTTGAATCTTGATATCTGGTTCCATCCATGGAGATCAGCTGAGTAATTGGCAGCAGGAGTATCTTCTCCAGATGACATCATCTGTTCTTTATGCATGCTCTACTTTGCTAAAAAAGAAAGCCGCCTATGATGACAGCCTTACTAGCGCATAGTGTGTTGGGAAAATGGTCCTTTGTACATAGAATTTTTTTGAAAACTAGAATCTTATTTATGTTAACACTTTTACAAAAAAACATTAAATTCAAATGGTGGATGAACTAGAACCTGACCTCAGGCCTGATGTGGTTCTAGAGCAGCTCTGGAGAAGAGAAGAGAGAGTTGGGATTTGCCATAGGGTTGGTTATGCTGTGGGTTCCACCCAGACTCACTCTGAAGGGCCATCCTAGGACTCAGTGAGGCTGGACTCAAGCTAATGTTATCTCTTGAAGGCATAGAATAGAATGAGTCCCATTTTGATGGAACACAGAAACAAATTGTGTTCAGATTCAATATGCATGCCATAATAGAAGGTTCTGTGGCTGCCAAAAAAATGTCCAGATTTTCCTTCCCATATTTCATACCTTCTGCCCAGATGACATAAACTATAAATCATTGCCTTACCCTATTTTATTAATATTAAACAACAACCTCTAGTCCAAGAATATGAGTTTTTTATTTGTTTTTTGAGACAGTCCTACTCTGTTGCACAGGCTGGAGTTCAGTGACCCAGCCTTGGCTCACTGTAGCCTTTACCTCCCAGGCTCAAGTGATCCTCCCACCTGAGCCTCCCAAGTAGCTGGGGCTACAGGCACGTGCCACCATGCCTGGCTATCCTTACCCCATTTTAAGAACTATTTCTGAGACTCAGTCTGTGCACATTGTTAGAAATTTTATAAATGTGCGTCTTTTTGGATAAATTAATTCTGTCAGTAAGAGACTGTGCATTAAGCTGCAGGTTCCAGCCCCGCAGGGTCTAGTGGGTGTTCTTTTGTGTGCAGAGATGATAGATCTTAGAAAAGAAAGACACAAGAACACAGAGATAAGAGAAGAATTCAGCTGGGCTGGGGGGCCACTGTTACGAAGGGGCGGAGTCCAACAGTGGCCCCGAATTCCCGGACGCACTGATATTTATTGTATACAGGCAAGGGGGCAGAGCCAGGAGAGTAACTCATCTGATGCGATCCTTAGGGGTCAAGCAAATCACATTCTTACAATACAGGGGCCACGTGAGTACAGTGTAGGGATCATGTGGGTATAATGCAGTGGGTCACATGGGTACAGTACAGAGGGCCCCGATCTCTCAGCTAGCTGCTGCAAGGAGGGGAGGCATATATGTCAGTATCTTTCTATGCACTTATCAGAGAGATCAAAAGCTTTTAGGATTCCTCTATTCTTAATTCTCACAGCCTCTAAGAATTTACAAGCGATCATTGGGTGGGAAAATGGAACGTGAAAGTGGACAGGATGGTGACCATCGGAGCATAGCACCGCGGAGAGGTGTTAAAACCCCTGGATGTCTGTGGGCCGGCCTGGCTAGTGACAGAACTTCTTCAAGAGCTGGCAGAGCAGAGCTTTCTCTGAAACTCCCCAGTGAAAGGGAAACTCTCCCTTACGGTCTGCTAAGCAACAGGCACCTTCCCAGACGCTGGCGTTATGCTAAGCAACAGGCACCTTCCCAGACGCTGGCGTTACAGCAAGGCCTGCCTGCTAAGGAACAGGCACCTTCCCAGGTGCCAGCATCACCGCAAGGCATTTACTCTCACCTCCTGATCACTTCTCACAATGTCCCTTCAGTTTGGAATTATATTTCACTGGATTATGTCTACACTATAAGACTGAAATGTTCCTACACTAAAGCAAAGATTAATGGAGAATAATGATGTAATAAGATTAATTATATAATTGATGATGTGATTGAATCTAAGTCTAATTGGTGTCATTCTGTAACTAAGTAATCAGTAAATATGTTTGGTATTATTGCTATATCTAAGTAATCAGTTATTTATTATACTGTGACAGATTGTGCCTTCAGTCTCTTGCTGTGGCACCTGGGCAACTTTCTTCCCATATTAAGTTATTATGTTGCTTTTTTTTTAAGATGTGGGAAGAGTCAAAAGCAAACATTAGAACTTGAGTTTATCTTTGGATAAACTCAAGAAGAGCAATAGTCCATGATATGCTTCAGTGGAGTTTCCTAGTCCCAGGGAACAAGGGCAGTTGCTTTAGTTAGAGGAATGGCTTCTTCCATTTTTTCTGGCAGATCATTATTCCTGATTAACTACTGGATTAATGAACTGTGGAGTAACTTTAAGGCCTTCTAATACGTTTTTAACAGAGGTAAGAGCCATTTAGTCATATTTATAACTTTAAAAAAGGCTTACATCTGCTCTACATGTGAGATTCACCTCTGCAGTTATTGACTTTGAGTTAACCTGTAAGCCCAGAGGAGCAGAGCACCCTGTTGTATGTGCTAATGAGCTCTGCGTGGGTGCTGGGTAAACAATGTACATGTACTGCATTGTACCAATCACCATCAGCAGGGTAGGTCACATCTAGGGTTCCTGTCCTGCTTCACATGATTCATAGCCAGTTTACTAAAGATTGCTCTCTGCATATGAATATATACTTATTTTTAAAAATATACACTAAAATTACATCTTTCCCACAATTTTTACTAAATTAGAATGCTTTATTTGCACACAGATAGTTCCAAAAGACTAGGTTTGACCTTTTTTTGAAAAAAGAATGGGGAATTAGATGAGAAAAAATGGGATTTGGGTGAGTTGGTAGGTACAAGAGGCAGGCAAAGAGCGGTTTAATGGCCAAGAAAGTGACCACAGAATTAGTTTAATGAAGTCACTGGATGGCCAGAATCCAGTTAGTTGGACTGGATTTTATTGGTGCTATCTTCATTTCCTAGTGTCTGTTTGTCATCTTTTCTGCCAGTTTTTACTCAGAAAATTCAAATCCTTGCTTCAGAATCCCAGGACGAGAAACTGATGCCTGATTTTCTCACAGCCACTTGGTCCTTCTTAGCTCTGACCCCCTGCTGAACTTGATTTCATTTTTGCCTATCTCTGATATTTTCAGAAGGCAGGCATTGTGATTGGCTAATGTTTGTGCGAATTGACTGTACTAAAGTAAGCTTTACCTTACTTCCTACAGAACCATCAAAGGCATCTGTAGGATGGATGTCTTCCCCATTATGCCTCAAATCTACCTAGTAGGAATTTAGATATCAAGCAAAACCATTTATTATTCACTCAGCAAACATTTACTAAGCCCCTTCTGGGGTCCCTTTGTGCAGTAATAAGTCAGGGCAGTGAGAACAATTGAATCATCATGTCTTTTG